TCGTCCACTTTGAGCCTATATATCTCATTTCTTTTGAAAGATATCAAAAAGTGGTTAACTAGTAAAATGTTTATCAGGATATCAGCAACATTTTACTAGTTAGCCACTTTTTGATATCTTTCACAGGAAATGAGATATATAGGCTCAAAGTGGACGATCCGGGTGTCGTTCTATTAGAGGTTTTACGGTAAATTAAATAACTCAAATTCAAATGATGATGAATCAAATCTTTTACTACAGAATCAAATTGTAGATCTTGATTGAGCTTCAAAATACAATTTTTGAAACGGACAAAAATACATCACCGGACATCTTCATTTTTCAACTTTTTCAGTGGAATATAGTCAATTTCGAAGTCCTGAAAAAGTATTCCATATATTTTTGTTTCGGCTGAAACCTTCAGGGTAGGATAGTCAAAGTTAGAGATTCAGTTTTGTAATTGCCAACTTTTGAACTCTCATTTTAGTCCAAGTTTTTACAATTTCGGCACATTTTGAGTACAAGCTGCATACTCTAATGACATTTGAAAAAAGTTGCTAATTACAAAAAAATATGATAAGAATTTTTAATGCAAATTTTTGGATTCTTTTTCAATACTTCGATTTGAGTATCTTGCGCTTAACAATAAAATATAATAATTTAGTAAGTTACTGCAGATCGAACTCTACTATCAAAACGAGATATCCGACAGTGTTAGTCACCGAAAGGAATTCCAGTTTTTCAAATCAAGATACGAAGATTTTGAAATCAAATCAACACAGCGGCCATTGGACAACTGAGGGAGTGATTAAAACGAACAAGAATCAACCGCAAAAAAAAAAGATAAAGAAGAAAAAACAGAGAGATAAAGAGGAAGGAAATGATTAGAACATCGGGAAAAAGGGGGAAAATGAATCGAGAATTCCTCGAAGAAGCGCGAGAATATCAGCGATCATGTGTTCACATTTATGAGGGGTTTTTCATGTTTTTATGATGATCCAAAATGATCAAAAAGGCGTCAGATGACAAGAGGAATGGGTTAAGAAACTGGGTGGGCTGACCTGGTTCCAGATGTAGAAGGAGCGTGAAAAAAACCGGGGAGAAATGAGAAGAAGAATAAGAACCATGTTCAGATGTTTTATTAATTTGATAAGACACGACTAAGATGCGAAATGATACCTGGTCGTAGATCATTAGTAAACAGATATTTTGAACGAAATTTCCTCGGTTATCACATTATCTGAATTAAAAAATTTGATGACTGTTTCACTTTTGTTTCAATTTTTTAGAACAGTTACCGTCTCTTCAGTAAGCAAGTCAGCCTGCCATCATCAAGTGTTCCGCGGGAAACAACTTGAAATTTCAAGTTAAAAAAAGCTAAACTTCATTTTTTATAATCACATTCACAAAAAAAATCACTTGGTCATGTATTTAGAGCAGTCAGCACTATTTTTGGTTGTTCTTATGAATGGACAACTGGTATCCGGACAATTCAATGGAATAGTGGGATCCGAAAGATTGACGACAGTGTTCTTGGATCCTACTGGTTGCACAATATTGTTCCACAAATGTTTGGCCACATTGGCATGTCCAAGTTTCGAAAAATGGAAACAATCCGGAGCGAACCAATCCAAATTCACTTCTCCATCTGGCTTCAATGGAGGAATTGTGATTCCATTGAAGAATGGTTGAAGGACAAATGTGAAATCGTCGGTGGTGTCGAACATTCCAGAGTCTTGAATTTCTTGTTGAGCATCCATGTAGAGATGACAGGCTTGTGAGACGTCGTCGTTGGTGAAAGAGGATTTCTTTTCACATGGGCACTCGAAGACGTGGAGACCATCACAGAAGTATTTGTCATGGTCGATCTGGCGGAGCATTCTCATATCAAACATTCCCGTCATCGAGACGATTGACCTGAAAGGTTTTCGGTATTGTTTTCAACAATCGTGTTATTAGCAGAATGAAAAAAAACCTTCCATCTACACGTTAAATTTTGGTTTTTTTTGAACGCCATTATTCTGGAATGAGAAACATACAATTTTTTTTCAAAAATGAAACTTGAGTTACTCAAGTCCACTGCCTTGTGTAGTGCATTATTTCAGTATACCTCGGCAAATTATCCTTCAAAATCTGAATTGCAGTAATCACACTTTGCTTCCAGTTTGCTTTCGAATGAACTCCCTGTAATCAAAAATCGCAACTTTTATTTTGCTCTCTCCTCCAAATTTACATTTTCCTTCTCCTCGCAATACCGACACATGTCGTTTGCTCCGATAAACACATTGATAAGCTTCCAATCGTTTTTGATATCAATCTGCAAACAAATCAAATGATCTTCACAGAACGTCCCGGTTCTTTCGAACATCTTTATGACTCTGCATTATTTGGACGAGAGCTCTAGCTTGTGTGATGATATCAGCAGCCTGGGCTCCTGGAACAGCTTGGTTCAGTTTTGAGACTTCCCACACGTTGGCACTTCCAATCCCTGTGGAGTATCCCATAATGTTTGGGCTGAACTTCTTCATGACATCTGAAGTATAGGATTTCAAGGACCACTAGGTATTAGAATTAATTACTAGCAACTGTCACATGTTCATCCAACGATGAGTCTCCTCCACACTGAAATGCGAGTCCTCTGTATTGAAGAATCACAGCTAATGGATCTCCTTTTGGAGCTCCTGCTCCATTAGCAGCAGTCAAGGAGTCACCAAGAGCTGCGATGATTTTGATATCGGGAAACCGAACGGAATGAGCAGAAGTTGGTACTTTCTGACTCCTAAAACTTCCTTTATTCTTGATTCAAGGTTACATACCTACTTCTGATAGAGTGAAGCATCACACTGCCATCCTGGGTATCCTAAATCTGGGAGAGAAGCCAAAGACGATGTTGCGAGTAGTGTCCAAACGAGTAAACAAGAAACCGCCATCTCTGCAGCTGACAAGGGAGATGTGACTGATTTTCCCGAGTTCTCTCTTATCACCACGAGGGTAGGACATAATGGAATTCGACAAAGAGCAAACTATAAAGTTGCCTTTATTCTACCTAACAAAATTTGCTCAATTCACTTGAATCACTAAATCGAATATAATTTTTTTTGTATCAACACCTCAATAAAACAGTATTTTTATTTCTAAATTTGTTTGCCAAAAGTGAAATAAAAAAGAACATAGGAATACCCGTTGTGTCATCAAATCAACAAGCAGTGAATTCTGAGAAATTCGAAAAAATCTAACAATGAAAAGACAAAAAGGGCATTTTGTGTCTCCAGAATGACGGATGTCCCTTCATATTCCAACCGAGGACTGGGAGAGAATGTGGGTCAGATGTGAAGACGTCTTCTTGAGATAACGTAGAATCAGAATGCAAATCCACGTCACCGTCGCATTGATGCATTGAGCCATCTTTCTGAAAATTCAGATTTATGTTATAGTAAATTGAAATTCTGAAATAAGACTCACTTCTGTACACTTAATCTGGCATTGCACTCTATTATTATTGCTCAGAATCGACACTCGAACTCTGACGCCTTTTTTGTGTAATTCCGGTTTCGGGGCCTGCACATAGACTATGTTCGGGTCAAATGCAGATGCAGCTTTTTCGATGGAGGATGAGAAAATTGGTCCAACTTCAGAATATGGAGACACTTCGATCTGAAAAAATTTATGTTTCGATAAGGGCACGAAATGAAAGATGTTGCGATCGCTGCAGCCAAAAATGATGTAGTTTTCTAGGTCGTTTTCTTGTCCACGTGGACTCTACGACCTGCCAAGCGAGACCTTTGCAGGAAATATGTTTTGAGCTCATAAATCGCTTCAATGTTAAAGGCGCATAGAATTTTCTGCAAGAGTCTCGCTTGGCTGACCGTGGAATCCACAAGAAATAACCTAAAAATTCCAGAATTTTTGGCTGCAGCAATCGCAACAAATTGCTGATTTTGGTTCGATCTATATTTTCATTTCATTTTAAGAGTATCCAATCCAACCTGGTAATTAGAAGACTCCTCCCTGAAAACTGCCACTCGGAAGAACACATAATTCTCGGTGGAAGTTGGAGCCCTCACAACTTCGGCAGCTTGTTTTATCATGGCACTTGTTACTAATTTTCTTGAGCAAACAAACACAATATACGGCATTTCCGGATGCATTTGACGTGGATGAACGGAGAGATCTAGGTTCAGGAATCTGAAATAATTTGTACCGATAGAAGGTACAAAATCAAAATTGCTCACGTTCTGGAAGACATAGAATGAGTGAATGAAACGGGAGAAGATATTTCAGAGTTTAGAGAAATGTTGAGGAATGGTTGGCAGACCTGAAAGTATTGATGAAACCTTTACGTTTATGGTCGAACGGCTTACTTGATATCTCTCACTAGTACTATTCATGCATTGGGCTTGACAGTATCTGCCAAACTGATCTCTAGCCTCCAAAGATACTCGAGACGTTTTTCCGGCTCTTGGTTTCGGAAGACTCAAGTATACGGTACCCGGAATTTCAGGGAACACGGTCTCTCCCGAATGGAACACTATCTGAGTTTGATTCGTGTCCAAATCAGTGATCACAATTCTCGAGAGATCATCTTCGATCCCTTTTCCATTTTCGTCTAGAAGTACTGTTTTTGCCCAAACTTTTTCTTTGAACGACAAGTTTCCATCCTCGATTCTTGATTTTGTAGCTGATCGAACTCTGGGTGGCACCACGCATTTTCCTTGACTACAAACTGAATTATAGCAAATCTGAGTGCCCTCGTAGCCAGTGCAGTTTCCTCCGTAGACTACCTGAAAGATTTCACTGATGAAGTATTTAATGGAAATCACATTATTAACTTACTCTACTTCTACACCTCCACGTCTTCATATCACACCAGTAGAAGTTAGAATCACACGTGGCATCCTCAATGGTACAATGTCTAACCGGTTGATACTCATACCACTCATCGGTATATTGATTGGATAAACCGTCGCGATTTTGAATTGTGAACGGCTTCATTTGAACATCGAATCCGTGATTGCTATTGCAGTTCTTCTGAAAATGTTTCGTTCATTTTTTAGATATTTTCTGATTTACCGTAGCCCATTGCTCCTCTCTTTCTTTCTTGTCTGACTGTTCTGTCTAAATTTCTCCCACAAATTATCGATGAACGCATGGTGCATGTAGAATGTTGGATCATTTGGGCTTACTCTGAAATCGTTGGTTTAGATTAAACTTCAATTTCGAAAAGGTATTATACCTGATAACATACATGAATCCTCCAACCCAAACATGACTGAGTCCGTGCATACTTTCGAAGGTTTTGTCATGACAGAATGTGAGTTGGCTGAAACTTGATTTTAAGTGTCAGAGATTGACCGTAAAGAAGATCACCAAAATAATGGAAACCTTGAAACAGACAATCAACTTTTCTTCTCACTATCAGAAAAACATTTTGATTTATATTATAAAATATATTTTGATTGCAGTAACTTCGAAGCTAACAGTTCCTTCAACTGAATGCAATAAACACTCTAATAGAGTTCCACCCAAACAGTCAACTTTAAATTTAACTGACAAATATTTCATCAGTTGACGGAATTTCGACATCTTTCATAGTAACCGAGATGTATAGGCTCAAAATTGACGGTTTGGGTGGAACTATATCAGAGTGTTTATGGTATGTAAATTTACCTTTATTTTTAAGAACGAATTTCTATGAAATTGTTTTTTATGTTTTCAAAAAAAGGTTTCCTTGTATCTCATTACATTGACGGTCAAAAACCTTTTTAATTTAGTTTTCCACCCACCTGAAATTCTGTCTCGTAATGATCCAATTGGCATCCTTTGGTGTCATCAAACGATCTTGTTCCCTGCCCCCAGTCGATCTGTAAACAGAATTCAATTGGGTGTAAAGAATTTCACAAGGACACATAAGACGTTTGAACCATCGTTCTGCATGTTTCACTTTAAATTTTATCATTCTAAAAAACAGAAAAAAGGTTCTACCTGTACAACTTTTTAACGGGAATCTGGCTGAGTGGCATCAGAACATTCGTATCCCAGTTAGCGAACGGTCCAGTTTTTACGTAGCCATTCCCGTTTCCTAGCAACTCATCAGTCCATAATACACTGTCAGCTTCTTCCGGGAGCCCTGAAAATTTCCTGTTCGTATTTTTGTATTTTAAAAAGTACGTACCTTGATCCAGAGTAGAATCCCAATAAGGCAGTGTAACTGATGGAACTTCTGTCTGGAGAGCTATTTCAAACTGTCGCAAAAATTCCCTATGCCACGGAAGAAACGCTGGACCCCAATGAGCTCCTGGCGCACTGTCTGGATAATGAACAAGTGTATGAAGATCCCAAGCAGTGATATTGTCGATTTGTCGATTCTTCAGACCATTCATTGCAATTCCGAGATCTCGAAGTTCAGCGGGAGACATCATTCGGATTTCTTTGCGAATTGATTTTGTGGGAGCCCTTTTCTATAAAGTTGAAAGAAAAAATTTGAAAACTTCCTTGCATAGAAAACTTCACAAAAAGCTAGGTCCTGGCCGGGTTCGAACCGGCGATCTTCTGCGTGTAAAGCAGACGTGATAACCACTACACCACAGGACCCGTCGGGAAACTACAGTCTACAAAGAGGGAAAGAGAGAACGCAAACCTACGACCTACCTTTCGTCTCGCTTCTCTCACACAGTTCTCTCGTGTACACTGTTCAACATGGCGTAGATATTTCAGTTGATTATCTATAAAACAATTTTCTTTTTAAATAATGAGAGTTTGGGTTTCGAATATTTCCATAGTAGATTTTCAAAAGACGTATTTACCTGTAGTAACTTCGAGAAACTTCTTTCCGGCCTCCTCATCTCGATCCTTGACCCATTCTCTCTGATGCATACAAACCATTCGAATCTGAGCTTCTGTGAAAAAATCAAGATCACCGAGTTGTTGGATCCATTGTTCACAAGAGTCGAGTTTTGATTGGGATATTAGAATGAGCCAAAGGAATGTGACTAGGAGTCGGAGGATCATCTGGAAGACTTCATTAACGAATTTGATTGGAAAAAGGATCTGGAAGAAGCAAAATGGGTAGGAAGAAACAGGAAACAAAAATCACAGTTTATAAAAATGAAACTTGTTTTGTTGAAATAAGGAACTTCAAAAATCGAGAGAGTTCTATTCTGATGAGTAGTTCCTGTCTAATTCAGTGAATCACACTGTTTGGTAATTATAACGTCATTATCACGTCATCTGAAGATGATAGTTAGAAGATGAAAGATTATGAAATGGGCGGAAGTTTAACGAAAAATATTTGCAGAATATAATAAGAAAAGCGTTTTAATAACAAAAAATTGAAGAGAAATTCTTTATTTCAAAACTTAATTTTTGCTGTTTCAGGTTATCTTGAATTGCGTTAATTTCAAAAACTAATAATCCTGCTTCTTACTGTTCTCGGAAATTCAACTTACCGTATTTCCCCTATTAGATGCCCATGGGCTTCTATTTTTCAACCTACTTCTGGGGGTGAACTAATTTTAGTGAAAACGCTCAAATTATATGGTTTTCGGTTTCTAAGTGAACTGGAATAGTTATGAAACGAGAACAATTAACGGAAATTACCAGAAAAATAAACAAAAAAGAGTATATCTGCCCTAACCGAGAAGAAAAATGCACAACCAGGGTGGGCTTCTATTAGAGGTGGGCTTCAAATAGAGGTGGGCTTCAAATAGAGGTGGGCTTCAAATAGAGGTGGGCTTCTATTAGAGGAAATACGGTATTTTTGTCCTATATAGTCAATGACCAAAAAATTAAGCTAAAAAGCTGAATCTCTGAAAGAAGGTGTTCAGCGGTTTCAAGAAAATTATGTTTACTCCTGAAAAAGTATAAAATGCAAAAGCGTGAACATATCATTTTAGGGGGGGGATTGTTTGGAAGGCGAATCGACGAAGACCACTCATGGAATGGAATGAAATGGAAAGAAATTCTGAAATTCGAATTTTCGCTGTTTAAGATCATGATAAATTTCGTAGAATTTCGAAAAGAATATTACCTCCCCGATTTTTTCATGGGAAATTCAACAAAATTTTTTTGAATTACTGACATAAAGTTTGAAAAACAAATGAAACCTGAAAAAAAGTTATTAAGACAAATTAGAAAAATTTTGGAGCCCAAAAAAATTTTTTGTTCTCGGAACATTTTTTCATGAAAAGAATGTTGGCTCCAAAAAAAATAAAATTAGTAAATGCGACAGTGTGAACAAATTATCTCAGGAGAGGATAATTTAGAAGGCGAATCGACGAGGACAACTCATGGAATCGAATGAAATGGAAATAAATTCTGAAATTTAAATTTTTGTTGTTTCAGGTTATCCTTAATTGCGTAGAATAGTTTCGAAATTCAGTAATCCCACACCTCCCACCTTTCTAGAAGTGTAACACATTTCTGCGACTACCGAAAAAATAGAACGGCCCCCAAACAGTGGAATTTGAACTCAATTATCTCAGTTCCTATCCAAGATAGAAAAACTGATCAAATATTTGTGATAATATAATTAACAATGTATCAGATCGCAACTTTTTTATACCTTTGACAGGTAGTAAGGGGACTCTTCCGGTTTTACGGTGTTTATTATTTTTTACGGTGTTTATTATTTTAACTGTCACATGACTGGAAGCAACTGTTACATTACTGGAAGCTACTTTTTCAACAGATTACTAAAGTTTTGAAACCGAAAAAAGTTTTTCGGGAACTTCTGGAAAATCGCGATTTCCAGAAAATAATGATTGCTCTAGAATATAATATTAAATCCAATATTAGGATTATATGAGTATACGATAGAATGGAAGACGACTCGAAAAGAGAGCTTTTTAGTAACAAAAACATTTCATAAAAATACAGTTTCATGAATTAATTTAATAAATAATTAGTGAGATATTTTTGTTTCAAACATGATTTTATGGAAATTATAAACTAACTTTTCGACAACCTTTCCTCGAATTTCCAAAAATTCTTCCAAACCAAAAAGACCAATCATGAAACAACAAAACACACAAACGATCAGCCCTCAATAATTGTTCTCAACCAGATTCCGAAATTCCGAACCCCCCAAAAACAGTCACATGTATCAGTTAGACGGTTTCAAGTTTCGAAAGTCATGTCCTCACAGAAAATGAACATAATCTTCTGCTTCTTCGGTAACACTCTGTTTATCACTCAATCATTCCCTCTTTTCCTCTCCATCTCTGCGTCTCTCCTAATCCCACACTCTTTTGAGATGATCTTTCTCAAAAACTGACCAGAAAAATGGAACGGGTTCTCTCTTTTTTTTTATTCGATCGTCTAGATCACTTGTATAAGGAGGAAGACGTGTGAATCACGCAATTTTTCTGTGTTGATACATGACGAAAGAGAAAATTAAGAAGAGAAAGTGGGGGAAATCCTAAAAATACAGTATATGTCTTGTCTTTGCCCCCTGATTTTCTGAAATTTCCTAATTTATGTGATAGAAATATTGGAGAGAACAAAGTAATCAAGTTGTGTAGTAAACAAAAAGAATTGACAATAAGCGAGACAAGAAAAATGAGAAAATGAAATGAAAAGAATAGGTGGTCAAGAAGAAGAATGGAGGAATCATTTGAATGATGTTGATTATAAGATGATAATGGGGACAAAAAATGTTTGCAAGAAAGGAGTGAGAGAAGAAGTGACTAGCTAGGATTGTAAAATTTCTGGATTGTTTAGCTTCTAAGACATATAAACCCCTTTCTGGAACTATCATCTGAAATTCTCATAATTCCAAAATTATTTTTAAAAAACACTGCTTCGAATTTAGGTCAACATTTAAAACGAATCTTCAGATATACTAATGGGTGAGGATTCCTGAAGAACCTGAAAATCTAGAATGTTCCCTCTCAAAAACTAAGCTACAAAGGAGGGAAATATTGGTTTTGAAGGCCAGCAGATGTCCATCATCATCGTCATCAGCAGAAGTCAAACTGAAAAAAATAGACACGCCCTTCGAACATTCTTTTCTTCCCTTTTCTCCTTACTTGACGCCTTCTGTATGTTTCTTCTCCTTGTAATCTGAGTCATTGTGACCAGAAATAGTTGAGGACGAAATGGCCGAAAAAAGACGATGCGGGAGAGAATGGGTGGGGCGGAAATGGGGTTGTTGGTTGGAAAAAAAATCAGTTACCACCCATCGAATTGATGAGAAAAGGGGAAAGGTCACGAAGTTGGGAAGAGAAAGAGAAAGAAGGAGAAGAAGAATGGGCAAGATGGGAGATCAGTACAATCAAGAAACATACAAAACTCCTTACATGAAACATTTGAGCTGGTATTGAAAGGAATAATTAGAGTTCAAAGAAGTATAAATTGGACAACTTACGGAAGACAAGATAATAGTGAACTCTTAAAAACAGAAAAGAAATAAATGTACACATTTATAAACAGATAATATTTCAAATCTGAAAAAGATTATGCCAAAGAATCCTAGCTGGTTTCTTTTCGTTTCTCAAAGTATGATTTTTTTTTGCTGAAAATTCATGGCAACTTGAAAAACCGTACTTGTAACGCGCCGAGCCGAGTTTTTTTTTCCAATTTTCGGAAACCCGGCCCGGCCCGGTGACAGATTGCATTTTTACAAAAACGATTTTAAGAGCAAGTGAAATCCATTTTTCCGTTTTGATCAAAAATTTGAAAGCCGAGAAAAGCTATAGCAGACAAATACGAACAAACAAACAGTTTTGGAAAGAACATATATTAAGAGCTCAGAATTTGGCTTAAAACTATTATAAATTATTTTTGCTGCCTGAAATAGTGGGCCGTGCGCGGGCCCAGGCCGGTCCGTTATTTTACAAGTAGGCTTACCACAACATAGAAAAGTTTATGTTACATTGCGCATGATCCTTTGAAACATTTTGCCATGATATTTAATGGAAATTTTGAGGCAGAAAAAATATTTTTAAATTTTTTTTGGAATTGTTTTGTTCTTTTGTTTTACTAATTGCCGGATATCAGAAATATATCGGTAGTTGTATGGAATAATAATTTACTCAAATTAATTCAACGCTGCATCGGAATACTGTTTCTCTTTTATGTTTTCTGAAAGATGTTTTTCAAAAATTCAAACCCGCACTGTTTCAGAATGTTCATATTTCTACTTATTTGTTAGGAAGGGGCTGTTTCTTTGATACACACTCCTTATCTGATTGTCTTTCTCGAATCTGATTCCGAAGACTAGAAATTTACTGTGATAATTTGACGGGATCAGTTCAGTTTTTTTTGTAAATTACTATTCATTTTGTTTATGGAAGCTATTCTTGTTGTTTGATATTAGAATCCAATGAGCCATGATATCTTTTTTTCTATTATTGAAAATAAAAATTGTAGCCTGGTACAAATCTTTATTTACTTCTTTTCCCAATTTCTGCTCACAAACACTGACTGGAATCTTTATTGTTCTGTTCATGATTTCTTCCTCTACAAAAAATCCCCGAATTCCAATATTATTGAATTCCCCATAACAATGATTTTACTTCTACAATCGAAACTACTCAAATCGAAAGTACCAGTTTTTTCTCATAACCATCCTTCAATCACCCTCTCACCTCTTGGTGTCCATCCGCATTCTTCCGATCCAATCCCACTCGTATCCCTCTTTCCCTCTTTCTTTCTCTCATCACCCTCTTCATTTGCATATACTGTCTCTCTTTTCCTCTTTGGCAATTTTCCAAATGTCTGTGTCTCTTGTTTGTCATTGCAATCTCTTGGTTTTCTCGGAGACAACAAGAAGAGAAAAGGGATCAATATGCGCTCCTCTGCACCCAAGATGTTTCGATTTTTAGTGGATTTTGGTGACGAAATTCCTTTGGAAATTGTGACTCATCTACGCTGGTGACCTTGTTAGGAATGTGGCAAGAATATTGTTATTGAAAGAACTTGGATTTTGTTCTTGAACTTGGCTGTTTGAAACAGTAAATTTTAGTTATCTTTTTTTCAAGTATTTGTCTTTTTTTACACAAAAATCCAAATTTCGAGCTGTTCCTCTTTTGATAAGTTTTCAAAACTCTGATCAAACTTCTTATCACCTCATCCTTATCCTTCTTTTCTCACCCTCATCCCCCATTTTTCTCCCACAAATCATAAAAAATGTGTCATCGTTCTAATTTTTGTCGTCCATAGGCGAGTTGAAAAAGAAAATACGAAATTTGAGAAATACTGTACTCCCTCCGAAACGATCAGAAAATAAAAGAGAGAATACACATTCTCAAGTGCATCAAAACGTTTTCGGTGGGTTACCGACTCGCTCGATGAGAGCGCATCTCTTTTTTGTGACTCATTTATTTTGAAAACCATTTTTGAGAGGAGGATTAATATATCGTGTGAGCTCTGGAAAAAAGCTGTGAAATCTTTAAGGAGAAAGTGTGAATATAAAGTCGTAATGATGATTTTTTGATGGACTTTTTTGACCCAGATCTCACCGAATTGTGAAAATCGAGTCAACATTTTTTTCTCAAAATTTCATTTGAAGCTTTGAAGCTGATTTTGTCAGCTATTGTTATCATTGTTTTTATTTTTCATGCTAAACCAATATACCGTAAAGCCTGTGTTAGAAGGCCCTCAAACTGCCAAGTTTGAGCTCAATTATCTCAATTCCCATACAAGATACCTAAAATCTGTTAACAGAAAATATTGCTAATGTTATGATGAACAATTATCAATTGACAATTTTTTTTAATATCCTTGAGAAGCGAAGTAAAAAGAAGCGAAGTAAATAGACTCAAGTTAAAAATTAGGGGACCTTATTGCAGGTTTTATGATAGTTTTTATTAGGTAGAAAATGATTTAGCTCCAAAAAAAATTGCTTAAATATTTTTTTGGTTCAGCCTATAACAAGTATCGGACATAATGTAGAGAACTAGTTGGACAGTGCAAATTAGCTTCAATTGAAAATGGTATAGAAAAGATAGATTCTCTGTTTCATAGTTGTTATGTAAGATGAAACACGTAATACACAACAGTTGCACCATTTTTATCTAACAGCAATTAACAAACTCTGTGGATAATTATGTATTCTGTAGTTAAGCTCATCACGATTTTGTAGGAAACCACGCCGATGGTACGCCATTTTTCTGAAGCATTTTCAGCTGGCTTCACAAGTTTTAGTGCTCACTTTTTGCCTTATCACTGATAAACCTTCCTTTTGTTTGTTCCGACAATGAATCACTGACCTTCTTCTCAACCAAACAACTATTTCTTTTTCGTATGGAATAATTCATATAACATTCCCTCTCTTCTTTTTTTCTCATCACTATGGTAACTGCCAGGTGAAACGTTTCGCTTCAATGGTCTTGTAACTTCGTCCCTCACTCTTCTAATTTTCAGATCGATGAGCTGAAATGGCGTGTTCATCAGCTTCGTGGAAAGATCAGGATCCGTACAGTGCTCCAGGACCGCTGGGAGCCCGTTACGATGACAGCCCTCTTCATCTGGATATCCAGTTGGTAGTTCCTGGGATTCGACCAAAAAGCTTCTATCGAGCAGCCAATACTCAAGTCAATATAAAAAGTGATCCTTTGTAAGTTGTTTCTATTTTTCACATAAATCTAATATAAAATTGTGTTTCAGTAGTATGAAATGCGTAGTAGAAATAGTGAAGATCGACAAAAAGAAGACACCTCCAGAGAAGTCAATCATCGATCGCCGATTTTTCGAGGTAACACTGGACGCTTTATTGCTAAAATTCAAGAAACTCTAAATTTCAGATCCAACGATTTCCGTCTGAAATCGAAGACATCACATGGAAACTCAAAAAAGATTGCTGTCATCTGACAATCAAAAAGAAGGCAACACAGTCTTGGGAAAACCAAATGTCGCAGTTTGGAATGACATAAAAAGTATATATGATATATTGCTAAATTTGAATATGAACCTGAATTTTGTACCTAATGTTTTAAAAGTTTCCATTTTCGGTCTCTCTTTGTTCCTCAATAATTGTTCTCAATAGAGCACACTTTGATATTAACTACAGACCTCTGTTCGATATTAACTTTGCTTTGATTCCAATAATAAATTTATTCATCTAAAACTTTGTTTATAAATGCAATTTTACGAAAATTATCAAAAATTGGTAACTTGTTTGAAAATCTGAAAAAAAAACAGTCGGTGCGATAAAGCTTATTTTCTTGAGGTTTCCTTCCGCGAGGCCGTGAGAACGTCTTGAAGTACCGTAAGACATATAAAACAATGACCGCCTAGCTTTTAATTTTAGCCCAATTATCTTGGTTTCTGTGAAAGATATCAAACAATTGTCAAATGATATAATGTTGGTGATATTATGATAAATAATTAACCTGTTTAATGTTTTGATATATTTCAAAGGAAACGAGATAATTGAAACGAGGTTGAACTTCTCAAAAAAGTAGTATTATTTCATTTTTATTGAAAGTTTCAAAAGTTTCTGTTTCTCAAACTTTTTGAGTTTCAAGTGTTATGTATCATTCAGTGTATACTCGGGCGTCGCCGGCAACTTCTGGCCGGAGGCTGGTCGGCTTCAGGACGGAACTTGGTCAGATTCCGGCAAAGACATTGTGGGAAGCCGACCAGGATCCGACAAACTACCGGCCAACTTCCGACCTCCTAACAGCAGGGGCCGGTTCGGTTCGCGTTTATTGATGTTTTTATATAGAAACAGCGCATTATGTAGAATTGTATTTATTAAAGAAAAGAATTATACATGAAAATGAACAAAATTAGGGGAAAATACAGAAAATTAAGAAAATCATGATTTAGATTGTTAAATTTTGAAGATGTCGCTGTGAATCGTGACGAATATGAGAGAAGAGGCTTTGCCTGAAATGTGAATAAAATTAGATATAATTCAGAAAATAGAATTTATATGATTAACTTTCTTGTCTTTCTTCGAATTTTCTAGCATCCAGTTTCTTTTTGATTCCTGGAAACAAAACTTCCAAAAATACAGTTTTTTTTCAACAAATAATTAACTTCCAGTTGCGATATCTCCTAAGCACTTGACATTAAAAATGTTGACTTGAATTTTATTTATCTGAAAAATTTAAATTATGACAAGAATTCAAAGAATAAATTACCTGATAAGTTTCGTACTCTTTTTTTCGAGACCATCGTCTGTTATTGTCTCCGAAGTACTTGTCTGAAAAAAATGCTACAAAAATTGAAAGGATGCAACTTTAAAACAAAGTTTTTAGGGAAACGGCAAGAAAAATAGAAAACTAATTCAAAATGAGTGAAGCACGCGCCGCATAACACGCAGCGCCTTCAAATTCCGGCCAAAATCCGATCATTGTCCGTCCCACTGCTGCGGTGGGCAGCTTCTGACCAAAAGCTGACCAAGATCCGTCCAAAAGCCGAACCCCCTCAACTTCCGGCCAGAAGTTGCAAGCCGACAGCCGAGTACTCTGACTCTGATTCGAATAGGAAGCTTATTCACTTCAGAAACTTTTATAAAAACTAAAATTTTACGAAAAGTTACTAAATCAACAGGGATAATTTATTTGAAATTATGACAATAGGAAAAATTGGATGCAAAGTAGGTTGAAATTCTTGGAGAAAGTCTTGAAGTGTTATAATTATAATGTCACTTTGCACTGAAAGTTTTAAAAAATGTTTCTGTTTCTCAAACTTTTAAAATTCCAAGTGAAAAGTACAATTCATTCAATATTTAGTTGCGTACCCTTCAACAAAAATATTTCTCGCTCTCTGAACTAAAGCAACGTTCTACAATTCCGGATTGTCTCCAACTAGTACTTCTTCCTCCCCTCCAAAACTTTGCTCCAACAACCATCTGTCAGAACAAACAATACCTATTCTTGTTCATGCCGCGTCTCTTCATCTTTCATACTATTTCCCCTACCATCTGCCATCATCTTTTGCTCTCACTCTTCGTTGAATCACCCCTCCAAACTGTCTTTCTAACCCCATGACCTCGTTCCTCCTCCTTTTACTTATCCTCCCAAACATTTGCCAACATACTTCCAAATACGGAATACTAAATTAACATGGAGATCGATAAATATCTCCTACTCTTCCTAGTTTTCCTGACTTCTGAAGTGCTCTCCATTTTCTCAGATTCCTATGTTGATATGAGATTTTTGCTGGAAACAGAAGTGAGTGTTGGAAAATTTAAAAAATTCGGAATTCATGTTTTTTCAGCAACAATGCGTTTTCTTCCCAGTGCACCAACCACATGCTCAAATGGATATTGCTGTTGCAGTAAGTTTTTTGCAATGATTTTTTTTCGAAAATCTAAATTTTTCCAGGCATTAAAATTCGAATATCCATTATCTGTAGACTTGTTCAATCCATCTGGAACTTCGGCTGTTAAGACTCATAATAGTGGACGACATTATTTCAAATATCCAGAAGTTGATGGGAGTTTCCACGAAATCGGAGATTTCCAGTTATGCATTTCCAGTAAACAGATCAGACAACCAGTTCAGGTAAAGTAAAAAACTATACGATTGTTTCAACATTGTCAATTTTTAGGTTTCTCTGATAATTGTGATTCATGAGAAAAATGCGAATAACATCGATGTGGCATCGAATCTGCAAAGAATCAAATCTAACACAGGTTATGATGAGACTCAAATGACACTGCAGAAGTTTGAACAAATCACTCTGAATATTGATATGCATTTGCAAATTATGAAGACCGAACAAGCAAAAAGAGCATTTGTAGAGAAAATTGTGAGTTGTTGTTTTTCTAAAAATATAAAAAAGGCAATTTGATTTCGTGCGGGCTCGAACCGCCGACCTTCTGTGTGTTAGATAGATGTAATAACCACTACAGCACGAGATCGCACAGTCTACTTATCAATTGATAAACGTAAAATATTATTGTGAATATTTTCAGGACCGACAACATATTGAAACTGCATTTGAGATGATCAACTTTTGGCATATAATGCGAGTTTTCTTGGTTGTTTTTATTGCTGGATTTCAGGTGATTTTTTGATAAAATGACAACAATTAAATTGTAAATTAATTACAGGTCCATGCTATTCGATCACTGCTCACTACAAAATAATTGATGTCAACGTGTTTCAGAAAAACGGGTTTCAACATAAAGGGATCTCAAAATGTTCACTTAACCCAAATTTTGTGACCAGTGATTTTTTAAAACACAAAAGTTTAATAATATTTTTCGTTGATATTTTTCTATGTCCATATGCAAAATGACAATAGTAAATTTTAATCTTTCTGAAACTTCAGGAGATAATATGCTCAAAACTTGGCTCTGAATTTTTTTTTCTGATTTTTATCGGAATTCTTTGTTTTCTTAGGAAGTCTGAAATTTGTTTTAATTATTTTTCGCAAATTTTTGATCTCAAAATGTGATCTACCCGCCAAACTCTTTCTCCTTTCGGGGAAAAAATCGTTTTCCATAATTGCTTTTTTCTCAGTTTTCCATTTTCTGTGTAATTTTTTTTTTGAAAAAGTAATTTTTAAATTTACTTCATAATTCCGATTTATTTGCAAAATATACTAAGAAACGTTCAATAGAAGAGCCCCACACTATCAAATTTAAGGTCAATTATATCAATTCCTATGCAAGATATCCAATAATGGTCAACAGACAAAGAAATCTGATATTATGATAAACCGTTTATCAGTTGACCACTTTTTTGTATCTTTAACTGGAACCGATAATTATTGGCTCAAAGTTTGAAGTTTGGGAGCTCTTCTATTACAGGTTTTACAGTAATTCCATGCAAATTGTTTCATTAGTGATTTCAACTTCGTCTATTTCAATTCTTTTAACCAAAATTTCAAAAATGAAATGTCCAATTTTCCAGAATGGTTCTCCACCGTTTTCTTCGAGATGTGGAATCCCGAAACATTCTTCTCCAATATGAATTCCATAAAAAGAACTCACCTAGACTGGCTCACCAGAACTTGTGTCAAATGACAAGCTGGAAAAAGATAGTGGAACAAGAAGAGAAACCATACTGTAGATGGGACAGAATACCACTTTTCGATGACACAACAACGAGTCGATTCAAACAAGACAAAGAGGAAGAAGAGAAAGAAGACCCAGTCCCAGAAGAAGAAAAAGAGTTTGATATATCGAAAGCATATTATAAAGAAGAGAGTATATCATTCGAGAAGGTTTCATTTATATTCAAGGAGTTTCAAAATGGGAATTTTGAAGTTGAGCCGATATTGCATCCGATTTTAAAAGATCTATCGGAAGATTCGGTTGAATATATTGGATTATCGTCGATTCCGTGAGTTGATCCGTTTATTTTGAAATCTGGAAATCATATTTTCAGACGATTCACCAAACTTCACCATTCCAATAAATGCTATCATTTTGCGATGACTCATCTCAAACTAGTAACCCATGGAGCATCTATTCTTAAACTTGTAACATTCCATGAAGAAGAGCCAAATTCCAAACTTCGCATAGAATACTGGCAAACAAGGGATGGATGCTTTGTTTGGTGTGGGCACGATGTGAAATTCGTCGAGAAAAAATTTCACTATACTCTGGCAACGATCGATTTTATGATTGCAACCAGATACATGTCAAGACCATTGGTTGAAATTGATTTTGATATTCAACAATGGAACGGTTGGGATTGCAGAGAACGTCCGGATTTGGGATTCGTATGGACTGTCTGGGATACTTTTCTGTACAATAAGAGCCTCAACATCCATGCGGAAATATTCAGAATGACTGTTAGTAAGACAGATAGAGACGAGAAGAGACTTTCGCTGATTCGATTTGTGAAACCTCGACTTTTGGAAGTTATCATTTTAAAAGTATGGGACGATAGACATATGGGATGTAAAGACAAAGATGAGCCATTCAAATTCAAAGATATTTATAACACCAAACAGTGGAAAAGGGCATTTTGTGTGGATATTCGAGATAAAATGATTCAAAAGAACTTTTCGGCTTATCCGGGATTCCAGCAAATTCAGATGACAATGAAGGAAGAAGAGTTGATGGATTTGAAAGAGGTAATTTTTTTAACTTTTGAAGAATTGCATTCCCAAGAAATATTTTAACCGTTTTCAATAGCGGTGAAATTCGAAACACAAAATTTGGCTTCATTCTTTGTGCAGTAACATGACCACTAATAACTAAATTAAAATTTGTTCAAGTCGATCTAAATATTGAATTTATTTACGATAACAAAATTAAATTTTACAGGCATTTGCTGAAAATCCATCTCAATACTGCGAAATTCAAGTAATCCCTCAATTGGACTTGGAAAGATGCCTAGAATTGATTTCTGATCCCAAAATGAATCTCGAAAAGTTTGAAGGAAACAAGTATAGAGCACCAGCAAAGTCTTCAGAAGAATTGGGTCATCACTTCTTGGTCATGGAAATCAAAAACTATATTTCTCACACGAGGATGCCAGTAACACAAATTAATTTCGAGATTCGAGTGACGAAACGACAAGCAGAAGAGTCTCCAGAAAAATGTTTGGTTGTGAAGAAATAATCGTTTTTCTTTTTTCTTTTAAGTTTTGTACTAAGAATTCTGTAACAATTTCCTTGTATTTTTTGTTCAATTTTGAATCGATTTTCCAATTTTTCCACTTAAATGAAGGAATTTAAAATTTTGTTTTCCGAGCAAAGGTGAAAACATGATCAAAACTTACATTTGCAGTTTCAGATGGGATTCAATTAAAAACTTTTCGGATCAGTTTTGATCGGACAGTATTTTCGTTGTAGGGTTAGTTTCAGGTAAATTTCCGAAAGTGGGGTTTCAATGCTTTTAATTTTGCAAATTTTCCAAAACGATGAATGTTGATAATTGCAAGAATTATAAAATACACAGGGTGGTGCATAATTACCCCGGAATAAAGTTTGTACTAGCTTTAAACTTCGGTTAAGCGAAATACTGTGCCCAAATTAGGAGTGCGAAAATTCAAATATCTTATCAGTACACTGACCAAGTTTCAAATCATTTGATCAACTTTGAGCTGAATTATCACTTAGCAAAGTTGCTCTATCTCATGAAAACCACAACGGCAAACAAACGGAACAATACCTAGACTTGAGAAATTGCTTTGAAAATTTCAGTTGATTAGAACCAAACGAAAAAATACATTTCTACTAATTTTTGTGCTACCAAGATACTTATGTCTAGAAATATACCCGTTTCTATCAGTCCTGGTAATTCTGCGCCAACTTGTAAATTAATGAAAGTCAAAAATCAAATTCGTATATGAAAAATCAATTGAAAACAAAACAACCGGGTTCTGCAGCCTTCGCAAATGAATAGCCTATTTCCGGCTGATGACATCATTGTCTACACTTTTGCGTTCACTTCTCAATCTGCACGTTTTGCTCATAGGAGGTTACATAGTTAGATCCCTTTTGAACTAAAAAAGACCACATACGCTGGGAGAACCTCTTTTTGGAATCAATCTCATTTCCATTCTCACTTCATCAAGCTTCTCCATCTGGTCTTGAGTAAAATATATCTATTCCCATCCATCGTCTGCACAGCCTTCTTCACTTATTTTTTCTACCCATTTTCTCTTTATAATTATAGCCGATTTTTGAATTACTTTTTTTTTCCAATAATTACAAACCTAAAATGGCTAACTTTATTTGCCTAATCATAAAAACATTTTTGTGTTTGTCTACAAAACGAAATTGAGCCTATTTTCCATATGTCCTCATTAGGACCTTTGCATTATTTTCCCACAGCTCCTTTCTTCGTCTTCTGAAGACACTCTTCTTTTCTTTTTCACCTCTTTTTTTAGAAGGCGTGGTTCGAGCAACAGCAGAAGAAGACGGGAAGAAACTAAGCTCATTCATTCTTCTTTCCACGATGCCTTGCGTTGAGAACAGCTCCGCTTCATTGGCCGTCGTCCAAAAGGACCTCGCTTTTTGGAGGGCACATGAAGCCAGTTTCGATTTCGATGCATGGTGTGTTCTCATTCCGTTGGGATACTTTTTCCTGATTATTACACTGTATTCACAACGGAACATGCCAAAATTTCGATTGACTCGAGACCACTTTGTGCGAATCAAGATTTTGACTGCGGCTTTCTACATGACATGGTACCTCTCGATTCCATGCTTTTTGACATTCCAGAAATATCGGGTGAGTTTTCATTTGATTTTTGATTTTTCAAGAAGTCTAGACACATTTATTTTGTACTCTTGAGAGTTTCCTGGCTGTGCCTAGCAACCCGAGAATTCGACGTTGAAAGTCAACATGAAAAACGAATACAATTTTCCAGGGAGTCTTCTTCGCTATCCACATTGTCTCTTTTGCCGGATTGGGAACTGTGGTCCGAATGGGAATTCAACCAAAGCAGTACACACTCGCCGTGGACTATACCGAATCACTAGGCACCGCTCGTACCATGTTCGTCATGGGTTGTTTTATTTTCATTGAGACTGTGAACGCTGTCAATTCTCCAAGATTCCGATATTTCGAGTGCCCAGAGTCTTGGCTTGTGGTAGTGGAAGATATAAGCTTCAAATTAATGGTCTTCTCCCATTCTATTGCCTATTTTGTGGTTAAGAGCATGTGGTGTGCTCTTCGTGCCGAAAAACTTTCGATTTGCAAGAATGAGAAAGTTGTCGGAAAACTGGTGAAGAGAGAAAACGCATGGATCGAGCTGTACGACACACCACACTAGGATGGACGAAAATCGAAAATTAATACTCTCACACCTACAATTTATTTCTGACAGCTTTTGCTCCCTCGCTCTTTTCTTTTACACTTTCTTTTGCTTTTTTTCTTTTTGGGCTCAAATAAAAAATTGGGAAAAAATAGTTTATAAAAGATCTACAGGATTTCTAGGCCTCCAATAACAATAGTAAAAACATCAATATGAGAAGTTGTACCCGAATAAAAAAGACAAAAAAAACGAAACAAAAAAAGTTAGAAAGATCTGGTAATGTTTGGAACTGAAGCAAATAGAGCAACTGTGGAGCCAAATAAGAATCCGGTGAAGATGACCATACAAATACGGTCCACTACCATGGCGGAGAACTTCCAGTCATCTTCGATTTTCTTGGATTTTTCTCTTTCTCGAATATGTTTGTTGATCTCCTGAAAACAAAAAACTTTGATTGAAATTTTTGCTGTTTCAGGAAGGTGTGAAAGGTCAGCTAACATCCAGTTTCAGCTACAGTATTTTTAGGCAGTAGTTTTATTTAAGAGGTTGGAGGGATATTTCGAAAACATTTTTTCGAAATTCGGTTCATATAACTTATGATAAAGGACCCTCGACGAGTTGAACTTGTGGGAACACCAGTGGAGGTGCAGCAGCTGAGCTTGGGTATGGATACGTCAGAATACATACCCTAACTCCGAAAAATCCAATGTCTCCCCTCCTTTAAGCTCTATAACTTTTCGAAAACGTTCAAAAATTAGTGTTAGAGACGTGAAACACGAGAAAATGAGCTAACGTTTCTATTGCCCAAATCAAAACCTATCTTCTGTGATTGAACCCGAAGATTTCAATTTTTTGATTGATTCGAAGAAATCTAACAAAGTTTGAAATTTATAGTCAAATTGACTCACCGATAAATGTCCATGAACTTGTTGTAAAACTAAAAGCTGTGCAATCTGCTCAACAGGCACTCGATTTCCCATTCGATTCGACGCATTCCACCATAAATGAGCGGGTGTTGGTGGGGGTTGAGGGTTTGACCTCCAAGCTGGTGGCTCATCCATTGATTCTAAATCATCTTCTTCACAAATGACCTCATCTGGAGGTAACGATCGATCTGTTTCATCGTTCACTTCATCGACAATTGTCACGCGGCGAGGGAATCTGAAACAGAAATCTCGAAAAGTTGGAGGAGAATTAGAAATCCTACGTCGGTGTTGGCTTATTGGATTCGACTGTAATCTGACTGATAAGTGTGGCAATTCTCTGTTGGTCTAGCCTTGTCTGTCTCTCTTCGAACTCGTCATCTGAATCGTCTTCTCTTACTATTCTTCCTCTTCTAGCAACGAATCCAGGACGACGCATCATCAGAAGCCATGGAATCCATTCAAGCATCAGTAGGCGGAACTAAATTAAAACATGTTTCAAGTAGTAAAGTTATTTCAAGTTTTTGAAGTAACAAGAATTGTTCCATACAAGTATAACTCACCGTTCGATTCATCTGGTGCGACTTTCCAGTTCTATGATGGAAATTAAGAGCCAAAGTTGTCGCTGTCACACAGCACGCACATGTAAAAAGACATACGGCAAAGAATGCACCTAAACGAAAAATATGAGCATTTTGAACTCTAAATTCAGGTGGCCTTACTCAGAAACGGCACGGCTTCAGAAGTAGGTGGTGATAATTCGGCTACGTAGTTTTGAAAAATGCATATTGAGAGCATGATGGTAATTTCTGAGTAAGGAATAGAGATTTCCAACTATAAAGATTTTCTTACGAAGTGACATTTTTTCACCAGCATCGGGTGGGAAAGTGAATCCAACGAGAGTGAGCATAGTGATTAGAATACAAGGCAGGATCAAGTTAAATGCTGAAAGGATACTGAATGTTTGGAACAGTTTGTGTTAACCAACCATAATACAAGGCTCTTCTCCGAATGACAAAAGTGAAAACGACGTCGTAATAAGGTTCTGGACAGCATTGATAGTATTGAATGTTTCTTTTAACTGTTGTGCCTGAACTTTCTCTAATTTTATTTAACTCGAGGATAAGCACGCACCCTCTAGAGTCCATTCTCCATTTTGCATATAATTCGAAATGTCAAAACCATTTTCGTCAATCTCTAAATTCAGTTTCGAGCCGTCAAATGTCCATGAGCCAAATTTCAAAAAGCACTCTTGGACATCAAATGGGAACCAAACGACTTGGATTTTGCACGACAAGCGGTAGAGACCTGGAAAATGGGATTTAGGCGAGATGAGAGAACAATCATTGCTAAAATAAAAATTGTGAGAATTAAGTAGACTACTAGAAACAGAGGATTACTGAAAATTTATTGTAAGTTTAGAAAAAAAATTGTAAATTTTCAAACTTCTAATCTTGTCAGTCCGCCTCTAAACGTGGTCCCGTGCTATAAATAATGAGTCTTTAATGATCATCTTCATGACATAAATATAGAAATCGATTTTTAATTTTAAAATTTTCAAGTTTATACTTTTAAGTTTATAGTGGTACTTTTAAGTTTATAGTGGTCTGAGCAAGGAGTGAACCCGAAATGTTTATTTTGAAGTTCATCACTATTGAAAACAGTAAAAATCTATTTTGTTTTAGTGATCAAATTTTCAAAAAGTTTGTGTATTTTTTCTCTCATCCAAGTACCCACATGCAATGTCTATTGTGAAAAATGTTCATGACAATCACAGACATCCAAAAGGCCTGATCAGAAATCGCGCCCCACGATAACTTTTACGCCAGACGAAATTTCATAATTTCAAAATGGACATGAAAAAAAATGGAATTGACATATTTTATATTTTTAATCAACGCTCGCTTTTCACTCACCCTTGTACGTTTGAAATATCATTTCGTATTTTATCACTATTGGAAACAGTTAAAATTTTGTTTTAATGAACAAATTTTCGAAATTTTGTGTTGCATTTTGTCTAGCTTATCCGAATAACCCACACGGAACACCTATTGGGAAAAACGTTTATAACACTTTGTTGCAACAGTAATAATTTTACCATGAAATATTCATGAGTTGATGTTTTAATTTAATAATCATTCTCATCTTAACGAAAAAACCCTATTTGAGTATCCATTTAAGACACAATCTCTGAGAAACTCGAAAACACCATGGCAATGGAAAAAATCAAAATGGTCCTAGAGGTCTGATAATGTATGTGGTGGGTATAGGGGCTACTCTAATACTTTTGACCATAATACCCACAGGCCACGCCCCCTCCTGGGCTCGTCAATTCTCAACCATTGTCTAAAAAACCTTCCCTGAAAAATCGGCTAAAATTTGAATGTTAGGAGACTTACTTTCACGAGCTTTATGAAAAATATAAAAACTATTCCTGTGAAACTTAAATGATTCCAATTTATTAGTGGACGACTATCGGAGCAAGGAGTGAATCCGAAATTTGTAATTCGAATTTAATGACTATTGAAAACAGTAAAAATATTACTTTTTGGTGATGCAAATATTCCAAAAATTTTGTTGCATTTCGTCTGACTCATCCAAATAACGCTCATGGATTATCTATTTGGAAAAATTCTCATAGCATAATGTATTTGTACCAGTAATATTTTTACTCTGGAATTAGTTATTGGGTTGATGTATGAATGTAATAATAACTCTAACTTTATCGGAACGACCACACGGATTATCCATTTAAAATACAAACCACAGATTCTTCAACTTCTTGTAACAGTAAATTATGAGATACACTTACCGGGTGGCATCCAATTGACTAATCCGTTGGGATACACCAATAAATTCGATGCATATCTACTGTCAAATTGTGGATCAGCGCTGTTATACATGAGCACATCGGGTGTCCACAGCTGTCCTTTTCGAAATCTCAAATCAGTCACTCCACCGTATTCTTCTGGTTCCCATTTCAACGAATAATCGATCCATGAAAATTTCAACCACGCATTCACATCTACCACTTGATTCTTTTCATCTACATCTACAATCTGTTGAAGAACTAATCCCATTCGAACCATTACTGCTTCGGAACTATTCTCTATTGGCCGTTCGAGTGGTTCGTAGTCTTCGAGGAGTTCTGTGTAGAGGTCGCCTGGAAAAACTAACTGAATGAAACCGTAATAAAAATTAATACTCAAAAATTCGAAAACTCACCCTCGGATTTTTGTGTGCGTCCATTTCTACCGAGTGTCAGCAGCAGACATAGGTGGAGTATGAGCCAACCAAGTTCCATAAATCATAAATACACCAGCTAACTAGAAAATGATATGTGTGTGGGATCTGGAAATTTGAAAGTTTCAAATGTACTGGGGTTGATCGGCGTAACAATTTTATAAACGGAAACTAGCATTCTGGGGAGTTTGGATTTGGGAAAAGTGAAATCTTTTTATTGTTATTGGAAATGATTAATCATAAAAAACCTGTAATAGAAGATCTTTTCATTAGGAATACTGCTTTGCTTGTATTGTATTGTCGTTTCATTTTGTCACTTCTTCTGTTTCATCGCTACATAAAAAATAGCGAATTCCATAGAAGCAACCCAAGGTTTTTTTTAACAGCAAGAATTTTCTCGCATTTGAATGTAATAGAAGAGCCCTCACACTGTAAATCTTGAGCTTTTTTTGGCTCCTATGCAAGATATCAACAATGAGTCAACTAACAAAACACTTTTGCTATTATGACAAACAAATTATCAGTTGACCACTCTGTGATATCTTTGAAAGGAACCGAGAAAAACAAAGTGGAAAATTAATTAAAAGGGGCCCTTCTATTACAGGTTTTCCATTATAAGTTGTAACCCAAAAACTATTTGCAAGCTTTATGGCTTTCGAAAGATAATGATTACTGATTCAACTGTAAAATGTAAATTTGTTTTTCATACTAACGATTGCTATCACTTTCCAAAAAGTCATGATTAATTTTTCTGCAAAATCTCAAAAAACTCAAAATCATAAACTAGAAAATAGGGCACAAGATATCAAACAAATGACACTCAATCCAAATATTATACGTCATATTTGACCCCACGATATCAAGAGTTCAATATTTTGATCTCCCGAGAACTATTCTAACCATACTTGTAACGGGCCGGGCTTTTTCCCGAATTTCGGAGGCCCGGCCCGGCCCGGCGGGCCTGTCATTCCACAAGTTTTGAAAATTTCAAAAAACACATAAGGGGGGACCCTTAGTTTTTTTTTTGATATTTTTTGATCAAACAGACAAACAATCCAAAAAGCAAAAAAAAATATAGAAAATTGTATTGAGAGCTCAAAATTCGGTTCAAAATGACAAAAATGTTTGCTACCGGGCTTTGGCGGGCCGGCCCGGAATTTTACAAGTATGATTCTAACCCTTATTCTTATAATCAGAGCTAATATTTTTTGCATGAGCATCTCAAGGAGATATGAACGAAAAGTTGTGAAAAAAGACGCCAGACAAAGCAAAAAGTGATTAGGACAAGTGTCTTTGCCCCCCGTAAATCTGTCTCCCTCTGGGATAAAGTACTGTCTCGACTTCTCTAATCAATCTCTCTGTCTCCTACACTATTTCGTCTGGATTCCTTTGTTTGCATTCTGATTTTTGCTCTAAAAGAGCCAGCAAGGAGCACTAGAGAAAACATTGATTGTTCACTTCATTACGCAAAAGAAACAGAGCATATAGTGAAGGAGAAATACACTTTTTTGCAGGAATTTGCCTGCCGATTGGACACATAAATATTTGATATTTTATTTATCGGGTTCAATTTGTTTCACATTTCAAATAAATACTGTTTCAGCGGTTTATTAGCAACGATCAGTAAAAAATATAAAAAAATAATAATATTATAATGCATGGGGAAATCGATAGATAATAATTTGGCAAGAAATGGGACCTGTACAAATAAAAAGTAAAATGACCAGACGGACCGACTAGAGTCCTGCCAAGTGGGAGAGATCAGAATATCATAAGGAATCGCTCCTACTTGCTTAGCAAAGGCCACCGGGCTGAGCTTAGAATTTATCACCTTACATACACGGTTCCACATAGACAAGTTTCTGTGAAGGAAGCAGTCAAAGTATTGTCCGTTGATTTTGAACAAATTCGGGGCTCTGTTAGAATGGCTGGGAAGAATGTAGGACGACATAGAGGGAAAATGGTATGAGTTTATAACAATTTTGTGATAGGTACGAAGAACTAGAAGAGTGCGGCGATGAAGGGTGATTAGCATAGAGAACTGGGATAGGCGATTGAATTGAAGGGCATATTACATCTCTGAAAGACTTTTCTGGTGAAAAAACGAAGAGGAGATTCTAGTTTATTGGTAAGTGTGGCATTGGATGGATCGAAAAGTTTACAACCGTATTCGAGGACCGGTCTGATGTAGGTGTCGAAGAGACGGAAATATAAACAAGGGTTTTTCGATTGGAACGTTTTCAGTATTTGGCGGTACTTGATTAGGCAATTATCAAAATAGAAACATTGTTTGGTATTTCTAATATCCTTTTTGAATATACTTTCTGTTTCAGGTTTTTGATTTCAAAATCTCCCAGTATTTTGAGTATTGATTCCTCGGGGTTTTTTTTTCAACATAATTTTCAAAAGTGGATAAACTACAGAGCAAAAGATATTCGACTCGAAAGTGAGAACAAGCAAATAGAACAACGGACGTAACTATTCGAGAGATTTTTGTGCAAAAAAAAACGAAGAAGATGGATTTTTGGAGTATGTTCAAAGTGTAGACAAATTGGTTTTCCAAAGATTATTTTCGAAGGAATGGAAAAGTAAAAATTGATATTTGTCTTAGCTAAAACTTCTTAATTGATTGTGAAAAGCGTTCATAGAACTGCTGAAACTGGAAAAAAGTAACATTCAATTCAACTGATTTTATAAAGATTCCATATACTGGTGGTGGAAAGTCGCTCAAATGTTACTGAGAAAAGAGTAAAACCATACTTGTAAAATTCCGGGCCGGCCCGCCAAAGCCCGGGCCCGGCCCGGCCGGGCCTGAGGAAAATTTCAAGGCCCGGTAGCAAAAATTTTTGTCATTTTGAACCGAATTTTGAGCTCTCAATACAATTTTCTATATTTTTTTGGGCTTTTTGGATTGTTTGTCTGTTTGATCAAAAAATATTTTAAAAAACTCGAAAAAAATTTTTTGATCGAAAAAAATCACATAAGGGTCCCCCCTTATGTGTTTTTTGAAATTTTCAAAACTTGTGGAATGACAGGCCCTCCGGGCCGGGCCGGGCCTCCGAAATTCGGGAAAAAGCCCGGCCCGTTACAAGTATGAGTAAAACAGATTTCGGTGGTATCTCTTTAGAAATTTAGAATGTGATACTGTAAAATTTTTTATTGATTTGTTTTGTCATGGAAATTTTTATAAAGAAATTCTAGAGATGGATCCTCGATTCAAACTAGAGTGTCTCCTCATTTTCTTTCAGAGTTTCGTATATTTAGAGAAAAATTTGAATTTTGAGTGGACTAGATTTTCTTAATATAATCTTCATCACTAAAAATTAAAATCTAGGCCATGACCTAAAAATTGAAATCTAGGTCATGACCTGAAAATTTAAATCTAGGCCACGACCTAAAAATTGAAATTTAGGTCATGACCTAAAATCGGAATCTAGGCCTTGACCTAGATATACTTCGGTCACGACCTAAAAACCGGAATCTAGGTCACGACCGAAAATTGAAATCTAGGTCGTGGCCTAAAAATTCATATCGAGGTGATGGCCAAAAAATCAAATTCGAGGTCATGACCTAATTAATGTAATTTTTTCAAAATCAAACATCCATATCTTCTTTTTTGATGCCCTCTTCAACTTTTTTTTCTATCCCTTTCAGCTCAGAAATTCAATTCGACTTGGCTCAATTTCAGTTCAAAATATCATCATATCCAGTGTCTTCTTACCATTGAATGAGACACCGTCAAAACAATATGTGCAGTGGTGCATAGACTATTTCTGTCCTCTTCTTCCCGAAATTTCTTCTCTTTTTTAAAAATTCTGGAAACTTTCTTTTTCTGGATCACTATTTCAAAGTGGGCGGGAAGTAGAAAAGAATGCCTTTTTCTGTATTTTTTACCTTCAACACCCTCCTATTCTGTTTCTGCCTCGTCAGTCTTCTTCCGCTTTTTTCAGGATTTCAGAAAACCGAGAATAAGAAAAGGAACAAGAAGAAAAAATAGGTGGTGTGCATATGAAATGAACTAAATGTCAACAGAAGAGGCTCTTTGTGTTTTGTTCAATTCTTGACTTTTTCAACTTTTTTTTGGAGAAGAAGATGTGGGAGGTTACAACCTTAAGACCACCACCAACACATCCCAATTCCTTATTTCGTTATTCTTGACGCACTTTTTGGCTTCCTGTTTCTTCTTTCTACCAAACTTGGTTCTGGAGGTGGATTTTTAAGGATATATTTTTTGCAAAAAATTCTAGAATGATGTAAACGCTTCATAATAAATGCATATATCATCATTCATTAGGAAAAGTTCGAATGGATAATTTTAGTTCCACTTCTTTTCAGTCACGTATCATTAGGAACCTGAAAACTGAGGAGAGATAATAAGGCATGAAAACAATAGTTCATCACCAATGTTACTATTCTCTACAAAAAGTAATGAAAATTTTTTGAAACTGTAAAAATTTTTCAAACTTGGGAAACTTATCCCATCCATAGAAAAATTTTTAAACCTTCCAAGACCTTTCCAAAAAAATGTTTGAGAAACATACTTACTTATGAAATTCCAGATCATTTCAAGCATAATACAAACATTTCATGTTCTAAAACCATCTAGTAGTCGAGAAAATCCCATTGGAAAAGATTTTGAACTGAAAATACGATTTTTGGTACCGAAACTGGAAATTTAGCACTTTAGAAGTCTCCTAAGCAGACTTAAAACGGAATATAAGTTCTGAAATATGCTCTTTCAACCTGTATTGCTTGGGCCAATTAGCAGGACAACTTAAGGTCTCCTTGTCAGTGATAAACTCAAACCGACCTTGTATCAATAATTTTGCTCCGATTTGGTCACTGATCTATGGTGAACGGGCTCTGTAAGCTTCTTGAAACTGTAATTCGATTATTTGTGAATGAGATATATTGAAAATTATTTTAAACTATTGTGCTTTTTTGAATTGCATTCGACTATGCATTTCCTCGATACTCGGCTACTCAGGACAATAATTGTTTGAACATAAAATCTCCGTTTTTCCATTCCCAAATTCTCAAAGATCTCTAAAAAACGCTCTC